GGCACGCTGGGGGTGGGGCCATGGCCATACGAGGGAAAACCATAGAGTTTTCCCTCAGATTGCCGTGGCCCCGCCCCCAGCGTGCCCGGCGTGGTTGCGTCACTTCCGGGTGATGCGCACGTCGGGGTGGAGTTCCCCCTGGGGCCCGATCCGGCGGCGGCAGGGAACGGGCCTCTGGGGCAGGGGTTTCCCCGCCCCCCGGGGGGACTTGGGAAGCCTAGACTAGGATTGCCCACTCCAGTTCTGGAAATTCCTGGAATTCTGTGGTGAAGTCTGAGGAGTGCAGAGTCTGGGGAGGGGAGAGACCTCAGTAGGGTTGCCAGGTCTGGGTTGGAAAATACCTGGAGACTTTGGGGGTGGATCCAGGAGAGGGTGGGGTTTGTGGAGGGGAGGGGCCTCAGTATGGTACAATGCCATGATTCAACTAGGCCTGGCTGCTTGCTACTGTTCAACAGCAGCCACCCTATGAAAGTCAGTGTAGTATAATGACCAGAGCATCTGAGTAGGGTTTGCGAGACCCATATGTAAATCCTCATCTTTCTGTGGAAGCTCACTGGGTGATTTTGGATCAGTCACATACTTCCAGATGAACCTTTTATTTATTTATTAGCATTTTTACCCCACCCTCCTCGCAAGCCCCTATCTCAGAGGCCGGGAGGCTGGGAGAGTGACAGGGGCAGAAGGAGTGATAGGGTGGGGGCAGAAAGGGAGCGGCAGGCATGGAGGGGAGAGAGAGAGCGTAAGAAAAGGGTTGGCAGGAAGGAGAAAGTAGGGGGAGAAGGGAAGAAGCAGAAGGGGGGGGGGATGGGATAGCTGCTCCCACAAGGTTTCTTGTTGGTCCCCACTTTTTATCTAATCTATAATCTATTAAAAAGTTAGTAACTAACTAAAATATCTGGAGAAGAATCATTCCACTGTTGCATAAGGGGTTTAATCCATTTCTCTCTAGCCTCATTATACCATGGACATTTGAAAAGAACATGGGTCACAGTTTCTATCTCGCCTAAGCCACAAACACAATATCTGTTTGTGAATGGTATCCCTAACGTACGTCCTTTAGAAATTGCAGATGGTAGCACATTTAATCTTGCGAGTGCAATTGCTCGTCTATATCTTGGAATTGTGAAACTCAACAGATATTTTGATATTGTGAAGAGCCATGGGCTACCCATATAGAGAGGAAGAACAAACAAGTCTAGCTCTGCAGATGGTACTATCATTATCAATCTCCATAATCAACTTTTTAATAGTCTTATGAGCCAAAGGACATCCTAACGCTAAAATTACATTCTCTGGACACCCCAAAATATTCCATTTTTATGCTATAGCTTGATTACAGTAAATTGAACAGTTATCTGATTTCATATAATATAATAAGCTCTTATACTCCAAAAACAGTATTTTGCATTTCAGATTTAATGCCAATATCCAGGCTCTAGCTTCAACAGAATACTGACCAAGTTCCAATCTAAGGGTATCCCGCAGATCTGATGCAGAAATTGTATTAATGGCTGGCCGATGATCTATAGTCTTATTTAACTTATGGACTGCTGCACCATATAGCAACTGAGATAGTACTTTAGCACTGAAAGCTGTAATTGCTGAAGAAAGATACTGTCCACCTTTCCTATAGGAAAAAAAATGCTGTATTGCTGCACTAGAGTGAGCCACTGATGCCATTGCAGCCTTGCATTGGGGTTTCCAAGTTAGATGGGTGTCAAATGTTACCCCTAGGTATTTAAAGGACTTGGTTTATTCTAATTCATTACCCTCTAACATCCATTTATAACTTAGAACTTTTCTCTCTCATGTCAAGACCAATAGCCCACAGAGACTAATGGATTTTACTGGTTTCTGGAAAGCCCTGGGGAATTTTTTAGAGATCCCAGGGAGGGAGATGAAGAATGAGAATGCTAGAAAGTCACAAAATTTGAATAAGTAATGCTGAAAAACTCTACAATGCGTGTAAATATGTGCTGAATGAGTTCTAGATTGTGTATGCATGTGGGCTTAGGGTTGCTATTACAACTGATCTCCTGATGACCAAGATTGGTTCCCCTGTAGAAAATGGCTACTTTGGAGGGTGGACTCTGTGGCATTATGCCCTGCTGAGCTCCCTGCCACCCCTAAACCCTGCCCTCCCCAGACTCCACCCCCGAAATCTCCAGGTATTTCTCCCCCACCCCAGAGCTGGCAACCCTAGTCCGGCTGGCAGCAAAAGAAGTGGCAGCACACAGCCTTTGTCCAAATGTACTATTTTCTCTTAGGATGAGCTGGCCCCCATTACTTGTGTACCCTCTCCTTCAGCTCCAAACAGGTCAAGCAAAGGTTAATTTCCCCAGTGTGACCCTCAGCCTAGAAATAAGGGAAGCACCAAATACTGGCATGCAGTAATGGTGCCCTGTCTACTTTATCCAAATTCCAAAACTGCCCAGCAGGCTTGATGAGACCGGGGACCCCTGTTTTAGGCACTAAGAGCTGGAGCACTACCCCAAATCCTCTTTCTAGGGAGGCCAGCCTCCAGGTGGGACCTGGGGATCCCCCAGAATTACAGCTCATCTCCAGACTACAAAGATCGGTTCCCCTTGAGAAAATGGAGGGTGGACTCTGTGGCACTGTGACCCACTGAGGTCCCTGTCCTCCCCCGGTTCCATCCCCAAAGCTCCAGGAGCTCCCCAACCTGGAGCTTGCAACTCTACCCCCACCCCCACTGGTGGCCAGGAGGGACCTGGCAACCTCTCTTTTCACCCACCACGAGAACCAGCAGCTGACCAGAGACTTCTCTGTGTACCCATTAAGATGCATTTTGTTTGGCTGGTTTGACTGTATACTTTCTGAATTAATCTTTTTGCGCAAGAAAGTGGCATCGTCTCTTATTACTTCCTCCCCTGCCACCTTTTTGTTTTTTTAATCTGATTGCAGGAAGATGCATCTGCTGTTGTTTCTGTTTGTCTGCATCTGGACTGCTGTAGCTTCCCAGCACCGCCTAGTGGACGATATCTGCACTGCCAAGCCACGAGATATCCCAGTAAACCCAATATGTATCTACCGTAACCCAGACAAGACACCCCAAGAAGGTGTGAGTGAAGGGCCTGAGGAGGAGAAAATCCCCGACTTTACCAACCCTCGTGTCTGGGAGCTATCCAGGGCCAATTCCCGCTTTGCCACTCTCTTCTACAAGAGCCTGGCGGACTCAAAGAACGACAATGAGAACATATTTATGTCCCCTCTCAGCATCTCCACAGCCTTTGCCATGACCAAGCTTGGGGCATGTGGAAGCACACTGGAGCAACTCATGAAGGTAAACGCAAGGGAAGGAATGAGTCTGGACCTCTTTGATGCTTAAGTCCAAGCAGGGCTCTTTTTGTAGAAAAAGCCCAGCAGGAACTCATTAGCATAATAGGCCACACCCAACACCAGAAATGTATTAGCATATTAGGCCACACCCCTGACCGCACAGCTCATTAGCACATTAGGATGCACCCCCATATTACTAGAAGTGTGGTCATCCAGCCACACCCACCTTTTGCTTCTTATTCTGTTTAACTTGTTTGTTGTCAAAACACAGGGCCTTTTTTTGTAGCAGGAACTCCTTTGCATGTTAGGCCACACACCCCTAATGTAGCCAATCCTAATGAGTTTCTGCTGTTGGGTGTGGCCTGTTATACTAATGAGTTCCTGCTGGGCGTGGCCAACTCGGGAGCCAGCCGGAACTCTGTTCCTGTGCGTTCCTGCCCCAAAATAGCCCTGAGTCTAAACAAAGATTTCCTTTTGGGAGATGGCCTAAGGCTGACTACAGGCACACTCGTTCATCTTCTCTGATTCTATGTGGAATTTGGTCTGTGTCTATTAGTGCAGTTTATTTGTTTAACCTGGTGGGTTACTCTGAAAGGTGAGAGAGGGAGGGTTGCCAGGTCCCTCCTGGCCACCCGTGGGGAGTGGGGCAAAAACACTTTATTATGCACAGGTTTGTTGTAAACCTCCAAGGCCTCTTTGTGACAGCTGATTGTGCAAACCAACATATAATTTGACTGTACAAATTTTGTGCTACCACTGCAAATAACGTCATCTTATTTGCTACATATGTGTCTTCATCTGACATTAGAAAACAAATTTTGCAGAGATCAGTCGTGCTAGAAAGTGTGATGTCAAGCCCAGGTAGGAATTCCCCCCCTTCTGGTATGTATATATACCCCAGACTAGCCCACTCTCCTCAGATCTCAGAAGCTAAGCAGGGTTGGGCCCTAGCTAGTATTTGGATGGGAGACTACTAAGGAATACCAGGGGCGTGACACAGAGGCAGGCAACTTCAAGCCACCACTGAACGTCTCTTGCTTTGAAAACTCCACAGGGTTGCCATCAATCAGCTGTGACTTGAATGACAAAAAAAAGTATATATAAGTTAAAATCTCAACTTTAATTTACAACCCCTCCTCTCAAGATCCTAGTTTCCTCACATGTATGGAACACAGTGATTTTTCTGGAGTATGTAGACCAGGGGTCATTTCGTAGAAAAAGAGCTAGGGGAACTCATTAGCATAACTCATTAGCATATGCCACACCCCCTGACATCACCGGAAGTGTGTCATAAGGCCACACCCCCTGACATCACCGGGAGTGTGTCATAAGACCCCACCCCCAATGGTCCCGGCCGCTGCTGCCGGCCTTGCAGCTCTACTGCCGAGCCCCATGAGGGGCCCGGCGGTGGACCTGCAAGCCCGGTGGGAGTGCA